TATATATAACTCCAGATATATATATATATATTGGGGGGGGGGCGGGGAGGGCGGGGGTGGAACACCCCGAAGTGTGGGGATGGGGGGATGGAATCCTTACATGTCGCGATAGGGCAGAATGCACTGATGCACCACTCCTTGCTTTCTCCACGGTGTTGCGCGTTGGGCCCTGCAATTGCTGCAGGACAGGCCGAAGCTACTTGCCGAAGTATCCGGAGGTTCAATCTTGCTCGTCAGCACTCAGTGCCTGTGCGCGGGCTGGGCATTGGCAGCAAGCGCTTTGCAGCTTCTCGCTGATGCGCATCTTGTCTGGCCGCTCATGTTCAAGGTCGACCATTTGAGCATGGGTCAAAATAGGTACCCCAAGTGGAACCCTGGTAAATGGAAACAAGAACTACGGTTGTCCAAAACCTGAGGCTTTTCTGGCGGTTTAATTTTGACCCATACCCATTCTGCGAATTCAGGTTTTGCCACCCAAAACCTCTCTGCATCCAAGATGGTCCGAGGCCAGCAGGGGCCAGCGCCGGACATGGCGATCCACGGTGCGCTGCTGGACGCCTTCGACCGCGCGGGCCAATGGCGCTGGGCGCTTTGGCTGCTCAGCGCCATCAGCGCCCCCGACACGGCCGCATGGACCTCGGCCATCAGCGCCTGCGGCCAGCAGTGGGAGGTGGGGCTGCAGGGTTCCCAAGGCTTGATCCTTGGGTTTTTGGTCGGGTGGTCCTTTGGTTCTTTGGTAGATTTTGGTAGTTTTATTGTTTTGGTTTGGTTTGGGTCTTGGTTCTTGCACCTATTGCACCTTTCTTACGACCCAGGAGTTGTAGGGCTGGCTGTTTGGGTTTTTAAAGCCGGATGCTTAATGAGAATCACTATGAGAAGGGAACTTCGTCCGAACGCCGTTCTGTCGTTGTCTGGGCAAACGTGAAGAATCTATGTTGGAAGGGGTTTCCTGGATTCCAAGCCGGGGAAGACTGGATTTAAAGGCGAACTGTGGAAGGTCGCCCTTCATCTCCTGTCCCGCGTCATGGGCACGGGCTCAGCTGCAACTGCCCCGTGCAACGCAGCGGCCGCCGCCTGCGAGCGCGCGGTGCAAACTGACACTCAGTTGATTCAGTCGTCCTTTTAGTTTGGAAGGCACTTTCTGATACATGGGCCCCAGTCCCCTGAATCGAAACTCAAAGTTTGAGTCGCGTAACGCCCCAGGACAAGGTGCTGGACATCTTGGGCCAGATGCGGCAGGTTCTTGTGCAAGCAGACGCCATCACCTTCCTGGCAGTGACCAACGCGTGTGCCAAGGGCCAGCGGTGGACTGAGGCGAACCAGGGGCAAGGATTTTGAAATTCGAACCCAAGATCCCAGCCACCGGAAACAGAGGGCGCAGGGTGTGTCAAGTCCGGGGTGGTGCTCATTTATTTTATCAATCTTCTGGTTGGAAAGGCCGGGGAAACGTCTGGATTCCTTTCGGTTTGGGGGTTTTGCCTTCCCGCTTGGCCAGAACGCGTTCTTTTCTCCCAGGCCTTGGCTCACTTCCAGGCGGCCGTCTTTCGGGCCATCCCTTTGACCCGCAACCTGCGGAACTCCGGCATCAGCGCCTGCGAGAAGGGGGGCGCCTGGAGGGCGGCCGGGCTCTTCTCTGCCGGTCCCGCGGGCCTTCAGGACTTCCCAGTGCATGCCAAGGGATGTTGGGACTGAAGAACTTGTTGGCCAACGAATTCGGGTTTTCCATCAAGGGGGCATGTGCGTCCAATGGTTGGTTTCAGTCTTGACTGGTGTTGGGTTGGTTTTCCAAATTACACCACGAAAAGTGATTGACTGAAGAACTTGTTGGCCAACTAATTCGGGTTTTCCGAGTTAAACCGCTGAGAGTGGAACACTGTTAGCCTAACTTTTTGCCAACGTATCAAACCACTAGAAGGGAAACAAAAAGCAGGGGAGCAGAAAGCAACCGAGAGGATGTGGTGGCCGGCAGTGCGGTGATCACCGCGGCAGCGGTGCAGCGGCAGTGGCTGCCAGCGGTCGGCTTGCTGAGCAGACTCAGCTCCTCGGACACGTTATGAAGCATAGGTGTCCTTGTTGGGTTAGTTGGATTGAAAATAGATGGCACTGGTTTAGGTGGCTTCTTCCATAGGGCCATCTATTTTTCCAAAAGGCCACCTATGTTATGAAGCGTTTGGGTTGGCGCTGGCCAACCCCCAAGCAACCTCTAAGGCAAAATCCAAGTACCTTGGCAAAGCACCAGCAAGACACAACAAAGAAGACTCGGCCAGGTTTGTGGCAGCTGCGCCCGGATGACGTGTCCCTGAATTCCGTGTTTGATGCCTGCAAAGCAGCCGCCCAGTGGGTTGCCGCTGTCACCTTGCTGTCAGACATGGCTGCACGGAGGCTGGTTGCATGCTTTGACGCGCATGCCCAAGGGAAGTACAAAGGCAGACCACAGGCCTCCAGCCTTGCTTCTGTGCCAGGCGCGTGCATGACAGCAGGAATGTGAAAAAACGGGACGTCGCTTCCGCGGCTTGCTACCCAACCCAGTTTTAGACCACCAAAGCTGGATTTGGAGGTCCTTTTGCTGGAACCCGGTACCATACGAACCCATTCGCTTGGGGGAGCCTCTTCCAAGCTGCGTCAGGACCCAGGCGAGCTCCATCAGCCTGTCGGCGGCCGTGGGTGCCTGTGAAAACGCGCTGGAGGCCTCACAGCTGCCGGAGTTGCTGCAGCAACTAAAGATGGAGCTGCTGGAAGACAGAACCTCAGAGAAAAACAACCACGGGGTTGGTCAATATTTTCATTTAGACAGCGGCTACCCTCCCTCCCAACATGGCACCTGACAGGGGGTCCCTTGAAAGGAAAATGATCCAGGTGCCCTCTAGCAGTTGTTATGTTAGTTGGAGGAGGTAACAGTTTTCCATGGGGTGAAAGTCGCAAAGGACCTTTTGATCAACCCCTATGTCCTCACAAGCTCCACTGGCAGGCCTGAGCTTTTTTGCCCCACTTGTGGAGAGCTGTGGGCTACATAGGTGCCTTTTTGCACCTGGCTTGGCTCATGAATCCCGCCCAAGCCAACCTCTAGGGGCACCTTCCCCATTCTTTCCAGGGATCCTTCTTTTTAGAAAACCTCTTGAAAAGAACGATGGTGGGAAAGGATGGGGAATCAACCAATAGAAAACCACTTAGACTTTCCAGACCATTGCCAGCCGAGGTATGCCCATGTCGAGCTTGTCCCATGTGGTCGAGGCGGGCGAGCTCCTCATCTCCCATGACTCCATGACCGCGGAGGCCCACGGGGTGATGAGACGCGGCGTGGTCGGTCCCGTCTTGGGCGGCCTTCGTGGCCTGCGTGTGGGTCAAGGTGACGTGGTGCTGGAGAGGCAGTTCAGCATAGGCGGGCTCTGGGAGGCGTCAGACAGGTGAGCCGTTACTATTGCCGTTGCAATCTTCGCATGCGGCTCATGCAAGTATCGGCCAGTCAGAAGCAGAAGGGCACCAGATCGTGTGATAGAATGAGATGTCGGAATTCCATTTGCCCACCTGCTGCCCGGACACATGCTTTCCCGTTTCCATAGATTGCGATTTCGACGTTCCTGGTTCAAGCACCTGGGGGGGGGGATGCCAATACCTACGAGGAGCGGCTTGTCTAGCGCGGTCTGGTGAAGCTTCTGTCAAATGGTGCCAGCTCTGGGCCCGTCTTTCAGGTTCTGTTGGCCATGCGTCCACAGACCTGTGCTCTCCGGACAGGCGCGTTCACCAGCTCAGCCTTGCACAGCTTGGGGCTCAGCCAGCTCAAGGACTGGAGCTGCGCCTTGCTGTCGCGCCGCAGCCTGCGGCAGCGGACGGAGGCACGGGCCGGAGAGATCAGCACGCCAGGAGTGTTAGCAAGCTCGGACTGAAACAATCCACTTGTTTGGTTTGGCACATCTTCATGTAGCGGAGCGACGTGGCTCGATGTTTGTGATTTGACACGGCAAAAATCGCTAGGTTATGGTTCCTTGACGGGAATTGACTTCCAACTTCTTTGATTGGCCCCGGACCCTAGCTTGATTCATGTTCAGTGCAAGGATCCAGTTGCTGATGCGCTGCCCGGAGCTGTGGCCGTGGCGGGGCCCATCCAACTGCGTGGCGCTGCTGTGGGCTATGGCGGGGACGCCTCTGGCCCTTTGCGGCCGGTCTTTGTGCAGCACGACCGCTCCAGGACGGCATGGGCCGGGGTGGAGGGGGGGGGGAGGATGGTGGGGTGGAGGGGGTTTGAGCTGACTCTGCATCCAGTCGCTTTGAAGGGTTAAACGGCAAGAGTGAGCAGTAGCTTTAAATCAAGGGACCCGTTGCAAGTTGTGTGCGAGCCGTCGCGACCTTTTGCCGCAGGCACGCCGAGCGCTTGGCTTTGACGTGCGTGATTTTATTGATTCGCGCTCAGCGAGTGTGAGAGCTGCAGAGCGTTCACAGGTAATGACGCCTGTTGCATGTGGGTGTGCATGGCAAGTAGCCTTGCCAGGTGTGTGCAGGCTGCACGCAGCCGCTTAATTCATTCACACGAAAGAAGGCGTTTATCAAGCCTTCTATCCTTTTGCCAGGCGCTGGAGATGGGTTGCCAGGACAGCCCAATGATTCGGCAAAGAAACACGGTTCCTCACTCATGCCCGGGCAAGAGAATGGAAGCCTACGATGTGTTTGCTTCTGTCCAGTTTCCTCGATTCGTTTTGCACTCACATTCTTCGGATGTTGGTTGTAAGTCCGAAATCCTCTTCTCACTGTTTTCAAAAGCATGGGAAACCGCTAAATGAGAAGAGTGGCGACAACACGCAACTTCTGTGATGCTGAGCTGGGCAAGCATCAGCACGTTTGGAGGCAGCCGTTTCCCGGACCCCTGCAGCACGCCGCGACCAATCACAACTATTGCACATTCCCGGTCAACAGAAGGCTTGCAACAAAGAAGTGGTTCCTATGCGAGCAATGGCTGCCGAAGCATTTGCCACGACGCAGTTGCGCGATTTGCTTGAGCTGCTGGAATGACAGCGGCTGCAAATCCAGGCCTGGACCGTCGGCATGGGACCCTCGCGATTCTGCGGCGCGTCAAGCAGCGGGCGTTGAGCGCCAAGCAGCTGACTGGCGTCCTGCGGCAGCTGTCAAGTGGAGACGTCTTCACCGCGTTTCAAGTGCTCGAAGCCCTTGAGCTGCAGGGAGACGTGAATCAGATCCACCGCAACGTGGTGGCCACAGCTGCCACCCGGGCCTCGCGGTGGCAGCTGGCGCTGCAGCTCTTCAACCCAAAGGCCGACGTGGTGGGCTATAGCGCGGCCATGGACGCCTGTGTTGTGGGCAGCCTTTGGCGCAGGGCCCTGGAACTGCCCCTGAAATGCAGTTAAGCACCCCCACCCCCGAAAATTGAGTATGAGGGGGGGGGGGGGTGAGGTAGGTTTAAGTCGAAAATATTTGGGGGGGGGGGCCCGCGAGGCGGTAGTGGTAGTTACTCAGATACGGCTTAAGGCTCGGCGTTTGGCTTGGAAAAAATCAGCCAGATGTTGGAAATTCCATGATTTGTCACACGCCATGCTGTGCTCAGTTGACAAGTGGCAGAGCAAGCGGAGGTGCACAAGGCCATGGTTTTTCAGCTCGATGTAAACGCTCCGTGTTTGAAGGATGATGTCAGCGTTGCTACATTGCTACAAGCCAATAAACGTCAGCGGCAGTGAGCATGTAAGGTTCAACCTCTCTCGAAAGCTGCCTCCGGATATTGTCATGGTGAGCGCTGCTATTGATGCATGTGATGTGGGCGGACATTGGCAGGCTGCGCTTGGTTTCCTTCGTTTGATGCCGGACTGGCGTTTGCTTCCCGAAGCAGTTTGGCATTGTTTTGTATTTTTCCAATTTCCGGATTCCAACCAGGTGTGCAAGCCTTAGTGGGTAGCGCGGCTTGCTCTGGCGCTGCTAGTTGCCCAATTCCAGTTCTCCGAGTCCTTTTGCTGGAATGACGTCAGATTGCCCCTGACAAGCGCCATCCTGCAGGTATGCTTCCCCATTCCCCTGACAGTACCCCCAAAATGTTCAAGACTTTTTCTTCCCCCTACCCCCCCCACTCAACAGACCCGCACCAGGTGCCCCAACCAGATCACCTACACCAAGCTTCTTCGCCTGTTGCCCTGGCCCACCGCCCTGGCGCTGCTTTTCGGCCACGCGCCCATGGGCGCCGTAGCCTTCGGCGCCGCCGTGGCGGCGTGCGGCGCCCAGAACGCGTGGCGCGCGGCGGTGGCGCTGCTGGGGGCAATGCCAGGCCCGAGCCACAAAAAAGCCAGTCACCTCTGCGAGCAAGACAGAGAGAGAGGGAGAGAGATCTAAAAAAACCGAGCTACTTAGTATTTTGTGTTTGCAACGGCTGGACTGTAATCAGAAGCGAAGCACATGGCTCTTGCGTGCTTGAGGCTCGGACTTGAAAGGGGTTCGTCTGCATGTATTGCGCTTGGTGTTTTTGTTCTGCCCGAATTGGTCAAGTGCTGTCCGTGAGGTATGTGTTGTGTCCATGCAGGACTTGGGGCTGTCCGCTTTGCATCCTGCGGACGGTGGGCCGTGGCTCAGGTCTCTGCCCAACTTGTTAGGCCCTTCCTCTGTCGCCTCTCCGCCCGTTGCGAAATTCGGGCGGTTCGGCGTGGCAAGGACACGCTGCGCCAAATGCTGCCGTCTTCAATGCCGCCATCAAGGCAGGAAGTGACGAAGAAACAAGGAAGTTGGAGTCCCAAGGCGCGCTGCTGGCTTCCCGGTAGTTGGGACCTCTCATCCTTAAGCAAAATGGGAGGGGTCCACAACTGAGGCATGAATCACCTTTACACTACATCTAACATGCTTCTTTCTGGTTCGGCCTAGTCAGGGGGCAACCGACTTGTTGATGGGGTGTGCTTGAAGAGATCGGCAGACCGAGGCAACCCATGCCACTTAGTGCTTCCATCCCGCAAACCGCACTATTTTCATGTTGCCATTCTACAATCTTGGCCATTTCACCCCCCAGATGGTCACATTCTTACGCGCAAGTATTGGTTGGACATGCAGCTTTGTGCCCTTTGTTTGGCCCTTCTCAAGGCAGCTGCGCGCTTCTTTTTTTTCTTTCTCAAAACGGACCCCTCCAGGTTGGCTTCCTTGCGTCGCTTTCAGCCAGCCCCCAGTGCCCAGCAGAGCGCAGGCTGCTGCTGCAGAGTGGAGGGTGGCAGTGGCGCTCTTCGGGTCCATGCGTCAACATGACGTTCCGCCGAATGCCATCACGCGCCCCGATGCCCACCACATGCGGGGAATGTCTGTTTCTGTTTGGATCATCTACATCGGCTCGCCGTTTTATGCATTGACCTGTGTAGACAAGTGGTGCGATGTCGATGTGAATCGGTTCATGGGAGCGAGCTAATGGCCAACAAGGGTTCGTGTGCGTCCAATTGTTGGTTTCAGTTTCAGGTGCACTTCTCTGCTGCATGCCTTGGGAGACGACCGCTGGCCACGTGCAGTCGCCTTGCTGTCAGAGATGCGCTCGCTGCAGGTGGCTGATAACATCATCAGTTGGAACCTTGGCACCGGCAGCTCACTTGACGCATGTTGCTCTCGCATGCACGCACAGCACAGCTATGTGCGCCGGGTACTGGGGAATAAAGATGAATCATAATCAGGCGCTGTGTTTGGCTTGGGCATTCAACCTGTTCGGAACTTGGGAGGTTGTGCACTTTGGAATTTATTTGGGGGGGGGGGGGTTAGGGTTTGGGGGAGTCATTTTCTGTCTCATTTATATATATATATATATGGGTTTGTCCTTTGGTGTGTTGAGTTGCTTCAAAAGGCAGAAGGTGGGACCTCCCCGAATCATACCCCAGAATCATACCCCCGAATCATACCCCTTAAAACGTATGCTGCAAGATGCTACTGTTCAGCTTCTACCGTTTTGTGTTGTTCACTGCCTCCACAACAACCACCACCAGCGCTACCCAATACCACCACCACCACCACCACCACCACTACTACTACTACTACTACAACTACTACTACTCCAATTACTACTACCACTACTACTGCTTCTACCACTACTACTACTACTACTACTGCTACTACCGCGGCTACGAGTACTACTACCACTACCACCGCTACTACCGCTGCTACTACTACTCTACTGCTTCTACTTCTGCTTCTGCTACCCTTACTAACTACTACTACTACTACTAGTACTAGTACTTACTACTACTAGTACTTACTACTACTACTACTACTACTACTACTACTACTACTCCTACTGCTACTACTACTACGACTACGACCTTTACTATTAATGCTACTACCACTTCTGCTACGACTGCGACCTTTACTACTATTACTACTACTACTACTACTACTACGACTACGACCTTTACTACTATTACTACTACTACCACTACTTCTATTACTACTACTACTCCTGCTGCTGCTGCTGCTGCTCACTACTACTACATACATCATTCAGAGTCTGTAATCAGTGCGTTTTGCACCTAGCCGAATCATACCCGCGAATCATACCCGAATCATACCCGGACAATGAGCTTCCCCTGCCAAGGCTAGTGCCAAGTCTTTTTCAAAGCGTCCGCACCACTACAGCCGCTGCTGCTTATGCTACAGCTGCTACCACTACTTCTGCAACTGCTACTACTACTGCCACTACTACTGCTACGACTACTACTACTACTACTACTACCACAGCTACTACTACATTCATCATTCTGAGTTTGTAATCAGTGCCGTTTTGCACCTAGCCGAATCATACCCGCGAATCATACCCGAATCATACCCCTAGCCGAATCATACCCGCGAATCATACCCGAATCATACCCGGACAATGAGCTTCCCCTGCCAAGGCTAGTGCCAAGTCTTTTTCAAAGCGTCCGCACCACTACAGCCGCTGCTGCTTATGCTACAGCTGCTACCACTACTTCTGCAACTGCTACGACGACTACTACTACTACTACTACCACAGCTACTACTACATTCATCATTCTGAGTTTGTAATCAGTGCCGTTTTGCACCTAGCCGAATCATACCCGCGAATCATACCCGCGCAATGAACTTGCCTTGCCAAGGCCAGCGCCAAGTCTTTTCAAAGCTTCCGCGCCACTATAGTCGCTCCTTCTACTGTTACTACGACTACTACTACTACGACTACTGCTACTACTATTTACTACTACTACTACTACTACTACTACTACTACTACTATCACTATTACAATATTAGTTCTACTACTTCTACCACCACCACTACTACTACTACGACTACTACCACTACTGCTACTACTACTACTACTACTGCTACTACTACTACAAACTACTAACTACTACTACTAGTACTACCACCACCACCACCACTACTACCTACTACTGCTATTATTGTTAGTACTACAATATTACCACTAGTACTACTACTTCGACGACTACTGCTGCTACTACTACTGCTGCTGCTGCTTCCGCGAATCATACCCTCGAGTCATACCCCGAATCATACCCGCGAATCATACCTGCGAATCATACCCCGTACTCAAACCTTCCCGCCCGGCCCCCGTAAAAAAATACAAACCCATAAAAATGTTTTCCAATATATACACATAAATTTATATATATATGCTTTGGATCAATTTGGGGGTTAGGGTTTGGAGCAGGTTGTTTCTAAAGTGGTTAAACAAAAAATGTTTCGGGGAGTTTAAAGAAACAAAGAAGCAAAAGCAACTTTTGGCCCAGGAACAGCCTCCTCCACGCGCTGAGTTCCTCTTCCTCAGCCCCGTGGCAGCTGGCGGTGGCCAGCTTTGCAGAGCTGCGCGGGCGGCGGCTCCGGCCGGACAGCGGGACCTTTGCGCCGCTGCTGCGGGCCATGGGACGGGGTGGGGCTGAACTCCTTCAAAAACTTGCTTGCTGGGAACCAACCCTTTGGTGCATTTTGCCAAGGGATGTTCGGACTTTAACTGTTGCCAACTAATTCGGGTTTTCCATCAAGGGGTCATGTGCGTCCAATGGTTGGTTTCAGTCTTGACTGCTGTTGGAAGCCTCTTAAACCAACCCGCTCTTAAGCAAAGTAGACCCTTCTCTCAAAGAACAACCTTTGTCTTCAAACAGCATTTTTGCAAGCATTGGTGTCCTTTTTAGGTTAGTGTGGTCGAGCATAGCAGGCACTGGTTTAGATGGGTGTTGCTCCGTTTACCAGTGCCATCCATTTTTCCAAAAGGACACCTATGCTTGCAAGATCTTGCATGTTAGTTGAGTGGAACCGTCTCTGGCTGTTTCAACAAAATCCCAAAGGAGGACAGTGGCGGCGTGCGCTGGCGCTGTGGGCAGCCATACCTGAGCACCAGGTGGAGATGGATGTGCTGCTCGGTAGGCTGAAAGTGGCACTCAACTTGGGTGTTCTCAAAATGGCTGTGGGTCAAATAGATGGTACCAAAATGCCCCCCTTGGTAAAAGAACAAACTAAAACCTGCCTAACCCTAGCTCTTGAAGTTTGAACCACACCCAAATAAGGGTTGGCTGAAAGGGGTTGGTTTGCTGTTATTTGACCTTGAATACGAGCCAAAGTCAGTCCGCAAATTTGGGCAGGTACACTTCACATATATAATTGGTCATCAAGATTTGTGATGCATGATGAGACGCACTATTTTGCACCAACAACTCATGGGGAGAACCGAGGCTCTGTTGTAGCGCCGCCATGACCGCATGCCAGAACAACTGGCAGGCGGGTCTTTTGAAGGCAGCACCCCGCGCAATGGTGGTGGGTGTTTTTTTCCCTTTTCCGGGAAGCACATCATTGAGTTATGCGATAGATTGAGCAATGGCAACGGGCAATCCCATGTGAGGGATACAAGTAGCCGGAAGATTTCGCAGAGCATTGCTGGCAGGTGGTGTTGGTATTGCTGGACTCATTACCTTCTCTAAGCCTGGCAGCGGATGCAACCGCGTGCACATCGGCCATCGCATCATGTGGTCAATGCGCCCAGTGGCAAGCAGCCCTTGCCGTTGTCAGCTCCATGCCTGAGAGAAGGGCTGCTTGACACTCAACTTAGACTTGCCCAAAGCGAATCGACCGGATCGGACCTGTTGGCTTTCCCACTTTGGCTAACTTTTAGTAAAGCTGTTAACAGGTCGACCCTTTACCTCTGAGTCCTCTGGGATACTCAGACTCTCAGTGGCATCTTGTTTCTCGCACCGAGCCGAGCGCAAGTCTAAGCCATGTGGTGTTTTTTTCCAGCTCGAAGGGCACTGGCGGTGAGGTTTCTGCGAACTCCATTACTTACGCAGCCTCTGTCACGGCTCTCGCAAACGCTGGCTGCTGGAGCTTGGTGCTGCAACTTGTGGAGGAGATGGCCGCACAGGATTTGCACAGCTTCTCTGAGTCGAAGCACCGGCGCTGCAAGGTAAGTAATTGGAACCCATTTTCCGTTGAGACTCGAGACAGTTTTTTTTTTGTAAGGTTTTGTCAGCCGAGGTATGACCACACTGTGCAAGCAGGAAGTTTGCTGGACGTTTTTAAGCACACCGTGTTGGTTGGCTTGCTGCAGCAGATGTGTGCAGATTCTGAGCCCATGATCTTCATTGACACCCATGCTGGGAGGGGTATCTATGATTTGCAGGTGGACGAAGGCAGGCACTTGGTGGAAATGTGTTTTGCTTGACTCAGAAAAGATAGGTTTAGCCTATTCCAGCATACTGAACAAGACAGTCTGTTGTAGTGATGATATTATTGACCTGCCCCAGCAAGCAGCCCTGCCTGCGCTTGTTGCAGGCCCGCTGAATTTCCAGCGCGGTATTTCTCAGCTTCTCCATGCAGATAGTGCCGCGATGCTCAGCACAACTATAGCTTCCTCAATCAGCCCAAGCGAGTGCTTGTTCCTTCAAAGGCCCTTCGAAGAGGTGAGTCTATCAACCTCAATGCCAACCTAGCATGATCCAAGCCCCAAGCAATTTGTTCAATGCACTGCACTCCTGGCAGCCGCCAAGATGGTTGAAAACAAGGGGCAATCAACCTCTTGACTAAGAGTTGCCCAACCAATCGCACAATTTGATGTATGTTGACAAAGCCGGACCGCTCGGGATCATCATTTGTACCGGCCATAAAGCCCCTCCTTTTGGGAAGCATCAAACAATCTGCGGGCTTCCGTTCCACCCAATGCTTCCAAGGGCTTGGGGGTACCGCTACGCGGTGGCGCGTCATGCGAGCGGGGCGCGCTATCCGGGCTCTGCGGCGCTGGGGGCGCAGTGGCTACGACCCCAAGACTCCGCCATGTGCCTTGGATTTCGGTCGAGTCGGCACCCTTTCGGTCTGAAGGGAAAAGGGGAACCGAAAGGAAACTCATCATGTTGCAGCCCCCCTGTTTTGGGCGAAGCCCAGATTGACGCCCCCATACGCCGCCCCCAAAGCGACCGTGGGACCTCCACGCAAGCTAACGCAAGCTTCTTGGTGCAGTTGTTCGCGCGCAAGTCCAGCTGCAAAGTGCTACTTCGCGCGCGACTTTCGTACTTAAGATGTGCGATTCTCCAACCGGAGCTGTCACAAAGCAGAATATTCGTACAGCCCTGGGAGACACTCCCTCTAAGGCAGCTTCTTCAAGCTGAGCTCCGCTGTTTGGCTGTTCGAGGATGGACGCCCTTTTGTAAAGCACGGAAGATGGACGCGCATGAGCACCTTGCAAGTAAAGCGAAAGTCACCGGGCTTGTCTTTGACACAGTTTGCAGCATCATAAGGTTCAGATATGTTCAGATATCACCGGTAGCAGCCTACGTTTTGTTCCCTCCGATTCCCTGAGACTTGTCCTTGAAGGCTAGGATATATAATTGCAATTTGCGTTGCGACCAGCTACACAATATGTTCAACGTGCAGCTCGCCAATTAGGGGCCTTGAATTTCTGTGATCGGTTTGTTATGGTTTGGTTTTGCCGTGATGGCTGTTTGTAGACAGGTCAGGTGATGAACTCCAGATAAATGAGCGGCGCAAGCTTGATTGGAGTGGCAAGCGCATTGCTTTGGCATTTTGCTGCACAGATGGACATGCGTGCGTGCACATGCTGGCATTTTCAATTATGTGAGGTGGTGATGTCAGGTCACATTGTTTTGTGCACAGCGCTGCTGCACGTACAAGGTTCCGCGACAAGCACCGAGACTTGGCATGTGGGTAATTTGGATCTTTGGTTTCTGCTACCTGGGGTTCAAGGTTTGCACTTGCAATGGTCCTTGAGTTCTTACCTGCAGTCGTTCGGGGTGTTGCGCACCTTGAAATAGCCACCTGTAGCGACTTTGCAGTGCACATTGCGCAGGGTGTTCGAGATCTCGCACCGCATGTGTGCGGAGCTTGCACACAATCTACAACACATCAGCGCTGCTCATATTGACGTGGTGTGTGGCGACTCCTACCGGCTCCTCTTACAACACCGTTCACTTCACGGAAAAGGCTTGATTCTCATTGATCCGCCTTGCGACCCCTACGATCTTTACATGGCCTGGAGCCTCTGCTTGGTGAAGCACGTGCTCAAGCATTGGTCAGGTTTCAGCATCATCATGTGGTATCCCTGCCTGGGTCAGAGCCAGCTGCAGGGTCTGTACAGCCAAGCCATTGCCTTGGACGTAGGGGACGTCTTGGTTGCAGAATTCGGGACCTCCGGCACCGTCTCCTTGGAGAGGTCCGGGGTCTTCATATTTGCCCCGTCGGATGAAGCTGAAGGTTGGCTTCATATGCAGCTTCAGCTTCTGGCGTCTGTTGTGCATCAGTCAACAGTTCCCAGAATTTTCTGGCTGAAAAGGCGTGTGGAGCCGCAGAGTCTCTTTTGTTTTTTTTGTGGAGTGTCTCAACACTAGTTTCACGATGGTTTCAACCTGCAAAAGCAACCCGAAAAGGGATTCCCCCCCCAATGTTTGCAGATTGTAGACTAAAACTCTAGAATCCATACCTGGGAGGTGGTGGCAGGGAGAAACACACCTTTGCCGCGCATCAGTTTTCCAGGCTACGGACGCGTCGCGGAAGGCTCTTCGATCCCGAGGCGTGGGCGGCATCATTGGCTCGCAGAGCTTCCCTTCAAGGCCGGGATGGGCCAAAGGCCGGGAACAGAACAGAATGTGGATGCGGGTGAAAATGAAACAACGAATTAGACCACAGGTTTTGGTCCTTGGCTCAATTTATTTACCAGGACATGCCATTTTGGGGTTGCCCTCTGTTTGATCCACAGGCATGTGTTGATTTCCAGGCTTTTTCTGCAGCGCATCCGGGGAAGGGAAGTTTTCTCGCAGATTGCGTGTTAGGCACAGCGAAAGCCCGGCATCACTTGGACGCAGGACCGACCGAAGTGGATAGAGTGGTTTGCTGCAGGATGGGATTCCCAGGTGTGGAGCCATACAGCTGGCAGCAATGATCAGTACGAAAGCCTCAAGTACATTGTGAATCCCAACTGTTCCCCATGGCTCCAAACCCGGGGAAAGATTTGAACAGGGCTCCTTAAAAGATACAGCGGCCTAACAGCCACGAGTGGCCCAACAGCCCAAGAACAACCAACAGCCCAACAGCAACAGCCGAACCGCTCAACCGCGCAGCAAAGCAGCCAACTGTTCCCTGTGGCTCCATACCTGGGGAAATGTTTGAAACGGTACCCTCCCTCCAACTAACATGGCGACAGACAGGGGCTCCCTTCAAAAGGAAATGAATCTTCCAACCTCCCCACGGGTGCCATGTTAGGAGGAAGGGTATTTGACAAATTTTGAGCCACCCTCGAAACGGTGGGTGTCCTTTCCCCCCCCCTTTTCCCCACTCGGCCGGGAGTGCCACGGACCGCAGGAGCTTGGCAGGCAGCGGCCGGCGGGTATCTTAGCGTTTGGCGCGCGCGCGCGCGCCGAACCCGGCACCTGGGCCAACCGAGCTTTAGGCTTTTTTTTCATTTTTTTTCCGTTTTTTTTCTTCTGTTTTTTTCTGTTCTTCTCTCGGGGGTGGGGGCAATGGTAGTTCCTTCCTCCAAAGTGGACAAGAGCGTGCCCCAGAATCCGTTGGATGGGCGATAGGCTCAGCCATCCCACGTTCACGGGAGAATCATGGAAGGCCCATGGAAGCACAGCAGGAGTGGGCCCGCCCTGAGAAGGCTCAGGATCCCCACCGGGCCCCTTCAAAATGGAATTGGGGGAGGGGGTGACCCCTGGAAATCCATTTCTGGTTCCATTTTCCGTTTTACTGGGAAGACTAGATCACTGGAATTGGGGCCCCCCCACCCCCCTCCCCCCCTACAGCAGGGGGGATGGCTCAGGAGAGCCATTCATATGGATCAATGTCCTGGTTTGGCTCCGGCTTGATAGCGCAAATGTGGCTTTTGCAGTCCCAGGCTTCAGCAGAGAGGCGCGCAAGTGAGAAGACGCGGGGTTCGAACGCAGCATGCGGGCAGAGTACTGGATTCTCAGAGCAAGGCTTTGCCTGCTTGCTGCAAGTCATGCATGAGTTATGTGTGCAGGCGGCATCCGGAGGCAAAGCGCCGGCATCCCGGCCTGCATCTCAGCCCGCATCTACCTTTGCTGAGAAAACTGTTTGGCCCATTTGGGCCCATTCGGCTGCAATGACAGGACACTTCTCGCGCAAGCAAGTTCACCTCAGACGATGTTTTTGCCAGATCAGTGTGGACCAAAGGGGCTGGGCTGCAATTCCGAGGCCATGATCATGGGAAGGGTGTCGCGGCCTCTGTGGCCACGTGTCGGTTTCTGGCTTTCCCTCTAAGTTGCTGAAATATCGGCAAGGACCCTTTTGCGCGTTTGGTAGATCAATGCATCCGCTTTGGGTCCTGGCCTCCCCCCGTTCCGCTTATGGGTTTGGTACTCCTCCACCGGGCTGAATTCGCATTGGAGGCCACGCCTCCTGGCTGGGACCACCGGGCAGAGGCCAAGGATGGACCCAAGTACCGCGCGGAGTTCTTGGGAAGGCGCTGAAGAACTCGTCGCAGTCCCTGTGGTTTGACTCTCGAATGGCTCCGGGTCCGGGAAGTGTACCTTTGCGTCTTGCGGTGCTGCCATGTGAGCTCGTGTTGCGGCTCCATTCTTGAATGCAGCTCGCACCTCACAACTTCACAAGGAAGTACGATCCAGCCTCATGTCCAGGCAAAAGGAGAAGGTACACCAGCTCCGGGAGGACTTGAGCAAATGTTTGGGGCTTGGAGTCGGAATGGTCCAGCTTTGCCACAGGCACCCATGGCCACCCGACTGTGAAGGCAGTAGGTCGGCCTCACGACTTCATGATTCGCTGCCAAAGCAGCATGGAACCCACAGCAGGAGGTCCAAGGTTAATCTTCCGGAATGAATCTGTATGAAAACAAGTAGGCTGTGCAAGCGCGTGATTGCTTGGATTCATTTTGCCCAGGTCGTGCAGAGAAGGAGCGCTTGGACCAGCGACTAGGGCAGGTTCGGCGTGCTCTTCGGAGTGCTCAGCAGGCGCGATTTTTTCTCCAGGTCTGTGCGAGTGCCAGTCGTGGCATCCAATGGGATAGCTGACAGCTGCATTTGCCGGGTAGGAGAAGCACGTTAGTGGCAACCCTGGATGAATAAACCCCTGTTTACCAAATCGGTGTGTGTGTGTCTCCAGTTTTAGCGGGGATTTGTCATTTTTGGAGGAGAGCACCCCCACATTTTATACAGGGTATTATTTCTCCGGGGTCAACCATAGTGATGCTCTGCAGGAACTGGAGCCCAAGCATGCACACCAGCGCAGCTCGTCAGGCGAGAGATCGGTTCGGTTCGGCACAGAGCTTGCAATGAAGAGTTTGAGTTCCGGGCTCCAAGCCTTGGCTTAAGGAAAATGACCACCAACATAGGTGTCGTTTTTGGTTGATTTGGTTAAAAAATAGAGGGCCCAGGTTTACCTGGTGGTTCAATCAACTACCAGGGACATCTATGTTACACAAAAAGGGCGCCTATGACAACCAATCTGTTGCAAGGTTCTTGGAGATGATGTCACTGCCTTGAGCATGTTCACCCCAAACAATTCCTCGGGCCTGACCCTTGTTGGCAGGCCTTCCCGCAGAGAAGCCAAGCCGATCGGCCAGGCTGAGGCCAATGTGCATGGTGCTGACACTTTTCCTGGAGCTTGCGTTTGTGCAATTTGGCTTGGATGTTCCTGTCTTGGGCGCCCCCTCTCCATCCAATAGGGGGCGTCCTGAGAATGCAGGTCCAAGACTGACGTCGAGCCAGGCGCAATGCATCGGCCAGGGAAGGGCGGCGCTTGCGGTATGAGGGTTGGAGGGTGCTCGATGAGGCAGCTGTATGGACAGCTATCAGGATTGCAGCATGACAGCGTATTATTTCCGTCCACAAATTCTGCGCACCTCATTGCAGTATCGTCCACCTTTGGCGGGGAAAACCACACACTTGAAAATCACGCAGTACGGCCGTACGGCCGTGAACTTTCTAATCTATCAGTCCAGGGCAGTTGGCACACATCAAGAGGCCACGGCAAAATGGCAGCGCACCTCATAGGTCAAACCGAGATCCCTCGACCAAGCGAGCAAGAGGAAGCCTGGCG